TGTATCTCTTCTGACCTTTATGGCTAAATTTGAAAAGGCCATCTACAATAAGCGCTTCCACTCTCCTCTCACTCTCTTCTTAAACCCTTACAAATTCAGCTTCTGATCTTATCATTGCACCAAAACTGATCCCTCCAAAGTTACCAATGATTTCTTAATTGCTAAACACCATAAATGGCCTTTTCTCAATCCTCATTCTCCTTAACCTCTCCTAATGCCTTTGACATTATTGATCACCCTCTCCTCCTTGACACTCTTCTTTCCAGGTTTTCTCGATCACACTTTCTCTCGGTTCTCCTCCTACCTCTCTGACCACTCCTTTAAAAAAAAATTAATTCCCTCCCCAATTACATGTTAAAACAATTAACATTTCTTTTCTCCTCCCCTATAAGAGATACATGTGCAATCATGTAAGACATTTCCATATTAGTCACTTTGTACAAGAAGACTAGAGCAAGAAGGAAAAAAGAAAGAGAAAAATAGTATGCTTCAGTCTGTATTCAGACAATATCAGTTATTCCTCTAGAGGTAGATAGCATGTTTCATCATGAGTCCTTTGGAACTGTCTTGAATCATTGTATTTCTGAGAATAGCTAAGTTATTCACAATTCTTCATCATACAATATTGTTGTTACTGTGTACAATGTTGTCCTGGTTCTGCTCACTTCACTTTGCATCAGTTCATGCAAGTCCTTCCAGGTTTTTCTGAAATTAGCCTGCTTGTTATTTCTTATAGCACAATAATATTCCATCACAATCACACACCACAACTTGTTGAGCCATTTCCCAATTCATGGACATCCCCCAGATTTCTTAGCCACCACAAAAAGAGCAGTTATAACTATTTTTGTACAAATAGGTCCTTTTTCTTTTTTTTTAAACTCTTTGGGATATAGACCTGGCAATGGTATTGCTGGATCAAAGAAAGGTTATACACAGTTTTATAGCACTTTAGGTATAGTTCCAAAATTGCTCTCCAGAATGGTTGGATCAGTTCATAACTCCATCAATAGTGCATTAGTGTCCCAGTTTTCCCACATCCCCTCCAACATTTGTTATTTTCTTTTTCTGTCACATTAGCCAACCTGATAGGCACGAAGTAGCATTTCAGAGATGTTTTAATTTGCATTTCTCTAATCGATAGTGACTTAGAACATTTTTTCATATGACTTTAGATAGCTTTGATTTCTTTGAAAAGTGCCTGTTCATATCCTTTGACCATTTATCAATTGGGGAATGACTTGTATTCTTATAAATTTGACTCAGTTCTTTATATATTTGAAAAATCAGGCCTTTATCAGAGATACTTGCTACAAAATTTTTTCTCCAGTTTTCTCTTTCCTTCACCCATTCCTGTTAAAAACATTAGCGAGCATGGGAATAAATGGAGTCTTCCTTAAAATAACAAGTAGCATCTACCTAAAACCTTCAGCAAGCATCATATGCAATGGGGACAAGCTAGAAGCATTTCCAATAAGATCGGAGGTGAAACAAGGATGTCTATTATTACTATTGTTGTTCAATATTTTAATGGAAATGTTAGCTTTAACAATAAGAGAAGAAAAAGAAATTGAAGGTATTAGAATAGACAAAGAAGAAACAAAGTTATCATACTTTGTAGATGATATGATGATATACTTGGAGAATCCTAGAGAATCAAGCAAAAAACTACCTGAAATAATAAACAACTTTATTAAAGTTGCAGGCTACAAAATAAACCCACATAAATCATTGGCATTTCTATACATACTACCAACAAAGCCCAACAGCAAGAGATGGAAAGAGAAATTCCATTTAAAGTTACTGTAGACATTATAAAATATTTAGGAATCTACCTCCCGAAACAAACCCAGGAACTATATGAACACAATTACAAAACACTTTTCACACAAATAAAGTTGGATCTAAATAATTGGAAAAACATCAGTTGCTCATGGGTAGGCTGAGCTACTATAAGAAAAATGACAATTATACCTAAGCTAATTTACTTATTCAGTGCCATACCAATCAAACTACCAAAAAATTATTTTACAGAGCTAGAAAAATAACAAGATTCATTTGGAGTAACAAATGGTTCAGAACATCAAGGGAAATAAAGAAAAGAAATGCAGGAGAAGGTGGCCTAACCGTTCCAGATATTAAATTGTATTATAAAGTAGCAATCATCAAAACTATTTGGTACTGGCTAAGAAATAAAGTGGTGGGTCAGTGGAATAAGTTAGGTATGCAAGACACAGTAGTCAATGACTATAGTAATCTACTATTTGATAAATCCAAAGACCCCAGCTTCTGGGATAAGAACTCACTATTTGAAAAAAACTGCTGGGAAGACTGGAAAAGAGTATGGCAGAAACTAGGCATAGACCAAAATCTCACACCGTATACAAAAATAAAGTCAAAATGGGTTCAGAATTTAGATATAAAGGCTGATAATATAAGCAAACTGGGAGAGCAAGGAATAGTTTACCTGTCAGATTTAAGGAGAAAAGAAGAATTCATGAACAAACAGGAGATAGAGAACATTATGAAATGCAAAATAGATAATTTTGATTACATTAAATTGAAAAGTTTTTGTACAAACAAAGCCAATGCAACCAAGATTAGGAGGGAAGTAGAAAATTGGGAAAGAATTTTTACAATCAGTATCTCTGATAAGGGCCTCATTTCTAAAGTATATAGAGAATTAAGACATTTATAAGAATACAAGTCATTCCCCAGTTGATAAATGGTCAAAGGATATGAACAGGCAGTTCTCAGATGAAGAAATTAAAGCCATCTATAGTCATATGAAAAAATGCTCTAAATCACTATTGATTAGAGAAATGTAAATCAAAACAACTCTGAGGTACCACATCATATCTATCAGATTGGCCAATATGACAAAACAGGAAAATGATAAATGTTGGAGAAGATGTGGGAAAACTGAAACACTAATTCATTGTTGGTGGAGTTGTGAAATGATCCAACCATTATGGAGAGCAATTTGGAACTATGCCCAAAGGGCTATAAAAATGTGCATATATCCTTTGACCCAGCAATACCACTTCTAGGGCTATATCCCAAAAAGGTCATAGAAATGGGAAAAGGACTCACATGTACAAAAATATTTATAGCGGCTCTTTTTGTGGCGGCAAAGAACTGGAAATTGAGGGGATGCCCATCAACTGGGGAATGGCTGAACAAGTTGCGGTATATGAATGTAATGGAATACTATTGTGCTATAAGATTAATGATGAGCAAGCAGACTTCAGAAAAGCCTGGAAAGACTTATATGGACTAACGCTGAGTGAAGTGAGCAGAACCAGGAGAACATTGTACACAGTAACAGCAATGTTGTGTAAACTTAACCCTTCCCAGCAACACAGGGATCTAGGACATCTCCAAAGGCCTTGTGATGGAAAATGCTATTCATAAAGAAGAAAGAACTATGGAGTTTAAATGCAGATCTAAGCATACTATTTACTATTTTTTTTCTTCTATTTTGTTTTGTTTCCTCTTTCTGGTTGTTCCTCCCATTGGTTCTAATTCTTCCTTATGACATCATTAATGTGAAAATATGTTTAATGGGAATGTATATGTAGAGCCTATATCAGATTGTGCGCTGCCTTAGAGAGGGAGGGGAAGAAAAATTTAAAACTCAAAACCTTATGGAAGTGATTGTTGATAAATCAAAATAAATTAATTAAAAAATAAAATAAAATCAACATGTCCAAAACAGAAATCATTATCTTTCCCCCTGAACCATCCCCACCATCTATCTTCCCTATTATTCATATAACAACTCCATCCTCTCAGTTCCTCAGATTCCTCATTATCTTTCAATCCCCCTCCCCAATATCCAGTCTGTTGCCAAGGCCTATCTATCTTACTTTTACAACATTTCTTGAATATGTCCCCTTCTCTCCTTTGACACTTTCATCACTCCATTGCAGGCTTTCCTCACCTCACACTTGGACTATTACAATAGTCTGTTGATAGGTCTGCCTGCCTCAAGTCTCTCCCCACTCCAATCTATCCTCTATTCAGCCACCAAAGTGATTTTCCTAAAGCACAGTTATGAACATGTCAACCCCCTACTCTCCTTCCTATCTTCGGGTCAACTGTAAATCTAAAAAGCATGACATCTATGTCTCCATAAGTCACTGATAAATGCTGAAGAGCAGGAAGCCATCGGCAAATTTCTGGAGCACTTAACTAGAGTGTTCCCTTTATTTTTTATTTAATCTTTTTTCTCCTTTCCTTCCTAATCAGAATTGGTGCTTCTCTGTTTCAATGATCTCTTTTGTCAAGGATGGCTTAAAATCTAGTCCTTATGAAGTTAGGATGTCTGCTTCTACATGACAAAGTTCATGGGGTTTTCTTGGCAAAGATAGTGGAGTCGTTGCCTTTTCCTTCTCTAGTTTGTCCCCATTTAACAGATGAGGAACTGAGGTAAACAGGGTTAAGTGACTTACTCAGCATGACACTGCTAATATGTGTCAGATATTACTGACTCCAGGCCTGGTGATCTATCCATTGTATCACCTAGGAGGCAGGGATAGACTAGATGATTCCTAAGTATTCATCTCTTTCACCTCATGTTTCCAGGATCTCTAATGAAAACTGGTATGGAAACCTTGCCTCGATGTTAAGGTTCTAAAAGTCAAACTCCATGAATTCAAGGCCCTGAAAAGGGAGTTAATTACGGATTCTTGTGTTTAATATTACTTTTTTATCAGTTCTCATAAAAAATAGCAGGAAATATGAAAGATATATGTGATCTCACTTGTAGTGAGCAGTTGTAACTCTTTACAGAAACTCAGAGTAAATTATGATAAATAATCTAGTCAATAAATCGATGTTATTATTTATTCATTACTTTAAAGAAAGTTATTTTGATAAAGAGAACTTTCACTAGAACAAAATTGCTAATTATTTGTGGAATTCATGAAATTTATACTCTACTACAATTTTTTAGCAAACCATTCTCCCCACATATTGCAGGATTAATCAGAACATACCTCTGAACCAATGGTAAGGGAAGAAAATTGAGTGTCGAAGTCATATCCAGCCCACAATCTAACATGATGGTAGTAGATTTGAATTTGAGCACATTACATGGTAGAGTCGGGTGTCCTGATAAACAGTACTGTAATAAAAATAAATGGAGTCATTAATAAACCACTGCAAAGTTCCAAACCATAAAACAAATTATTAGAAATTACTTGCTCTTCTGGTAGTACCTTAAAGTACAGCCCAAAAAGTCACCTATGCCTGTGAAAGCCTTCTCAACTTTAACAATTGTCTGTGACTCAGCAACTCAGAACATACAAGGTCTAGTACATGCAGTATATTTACATCTGCTCTAAATGTTCCTTGGAGAAGATATACCTTTTGTTGAGTAAAAAGTTGCTTTAAAAAGGACATCGTTTGAGATAAGATAGCTAAGCTTTGTTTATCTGTTTCATGTCATCTGGAACTTCCAGGTACTTATATAGTTGCTATAAAGTGCTACACAAAGATCCTTGGAGAGTTTTCAATTTGTGTTCTAAACCTAGCCTTTGGATTGTGACATCCATATTAGGCTTAATTTCTCCTTTTGTAAAATAATGGGAAAAGTGACTTTCCTTAATGAGATGTCCTAAAGAGACTGTCCTTAAGATTCTTTAAAGAGATTAACCTACCCTCTGAGTGGGTAGGTTAATTAGCCAGCACCAATATAGGATTATGGCATAACATTCTTTATAAAAATGATTCGGAAGGACAAATGTCTTCTTGTGAACTACTGATATCAAGAGGGAGGGAGCATGAGTTGCCTACACTTTGACTAGAGAAAACAGAAGTCACTTGTCTGTGGCAGAAAGAATACAGAATAAATGAGACATCTAAAGTCTAAATCCTAAAGGCCATAATTATAGACAAAGGACAATGATGACGCAAAACAACACACTAATCTAAAACATTTCTCCAGTGTGCTGTGGTTGACATGCCAAAAAGATCACTACTTTTGTGAATAACACGTTCCCTTTTTTATTTACAGGTTTTCTTATTTTGGAGACTGGTAGAGCTTACATATATATGATACTTTATGGTTGCAATTGTATATGAGAGAGGGAAAAAAAGAAAACTTCTCCTGCCCGAGTTGCTCAGCATAGAAAGTCAAAGAGTTTCTTCTCTTGTTCCCTTGACAAGTACATTAATTCATTTTGATTTAAGCACAAGTATATCATGAGTGAAAATAACTATACATCAATGTCTCGCTTCATATGCCAACAGTACACTGTGCTAAGGTTTCCTAGTTACTTGTTACTGTGTTTTGCCGTTAATAAGAAATTCTCCACTTTTCTTTGGCAAACAATTTCAGTAACTGGTAAAAACTTAAACTAAGAAGTTATAAAGAAGGTATGCTTTATAGCCTTCCCTACTTCTCAAACAAGCTAATTATTTCAGTAACCATCACAATTTGAAGATGCCCTACTAATATCTTTTCCATAACTAAGTGGCTCAATGGATAGAGCACTGGACTTGGAGTCATGAAGACCTGAGTTCAAATCCTGCCTCTGACACATACCAGCGGTGTGAAACTAGACAAGTCACTTTGCCTCAGTTTCCTCATCTATAAGATGGGAATAATAACAGCATACATCTTTGAGGGTTGGTGTGAGGATAAATTGAGATAATATTTGAAAAGTGCTTTGTGAACCTTCAAGTACTCTATAAATACTAACTATTAAGTTATTAATCTCTGTATTTTAGTCTTCTGTTCTCTTGCTCTGACTTATACATTTTCCTTTAAACTGAAGAAAAGTCATTATGTACATCCAAAAGAGACAGATTATTACTGGGTTAATGAAAATCTTCACTGTATATGTCTAAAATTTGTCATATTTATTGCCAAAAATCCTTAAGTTACTTAGTTTCTTCATCTGTAATGGGAGTTGGACTAGATGGCCTATAAGTTCCCTTACAGTGCTAAATCTAAGATCTCATGACTACTATCCCTGACTATTACAGTAAAATCTTGGTTAAATGACTATATAACATAGGCTGCTGGTGAACCAACAAAGTCCTAAACCCCACAAGATCTGCTCATAAGAATTGCCTGTGTACAGTCCTTGAGTTGAGAAGTCAGTTCAAAAGACTATGTATGACAGCTTATGTTTGTATTCCATTACACAGCCATACATACTTTTACACAGATTATTTTATCTGGTCCTCAAAAACTTGTGAGGACTATGGCGTTATTATCTTCAATGAAGGTAAATTGAAGAAACTGAAGATCCCTAAGATTAAGCCTTGCCTAAGGTTGCAATTAACTAGTAAGTGGCAGAATTAAACTGGGATCAAAAAGTCTAGTGCTACTTCCAATTATGCTACTACTGCCATGTTTTAAGAGTCATCTAGGAATGCAGGGTGAGAAATCTACAGTCTAGGTCAACTGTAATTCAGTAAGTACTTACCAAATACTTTCTGTAGTGAGAAGCAACATAGTATAGTGGCTAAGGAACTGGTCTAAAAGCAAGACCTGAGTTCAAGTTCTGCCTCTGTGATTTTGGGCAAGTCACTTAATCTTTCAGGACTCTAGGCAATTCTCTGAGACTATTAAGTTGAAAAGAACATCCTGATTTACACTGTTGTTATTGTTTAGTCAGGTTCAACTTTTTGTGACCCATTTGGGGTTTTCACGGCAAAGATACTGGAGTGGTTTTCCATTTCCTTCTCCAGATCATTTTACAGATGAGAAAACTGAGGCAAACAGGGTTAAGTGACTTGCCCAGGGTCACACAGCTAGTAAGTGATGCACCACCTGGCTTCTCCGCCTGATCCACACAGGTACAGGCAATTTCCCCACCTGGGATTTCCCCATATTGAGGGTATTAAAGATCCAATCTGGTATATCTACTTTATGTAATAAACCGTGCTAAGCAATGGAAGGCATGAATTAAGTATGAGACTTGATTCGTGTCTTCAGGAAGATCATAACTTAGTTGGAAAAAAGACATAAATATATAAAAAGTTGAACTATATATATTTTACACACACATATGGTAGATGTTTTAAAAAACTGAAAATTTAAAGCAACTTTACAGTCAAAAAGAACATTATTATATTATAAACTCACATCACTTCAAACTCTCTTCCAATCTTGTTAATGAATACATAGTATGTACATGCAATTATAATTATCCTTATGCTGTTTTTAACCTCCACAAATATATAAGCATTTCCATGTATTATCAAAATTTACATAACCAATTTTTCATGGTCGTAATGTATCTCATTAGGTTAACACAACACTGGCTACTTTCCTATTGTTAAAATCTGCAGTGTGATTTTAAAAAAAATAATACTGTTATGAACATTCTTAACATATAACTTTCCTTTCCTTTTGAAAATATCTTAGGGATATATTACTCTAACTGGAGTTAATGGCTCATAGGGTATATGCAATTTTGCGGCTCTTGGCACATGGACACACACACACACACACACATACACACATACACACACCCATACTGTTTTGTAGAAAGATTAAATCAATTTATTGTGTTATAATACATATATACATGCTTCTCTATTGCCAGACCTGCCAATACTAAGTTTAATAACTATAACTTAATAGTTTAATAAGTGTGTAATAGTATCTTTAATTCACCTTAATTCAAATTTCTTTAAATACTAGTAAGGACATACTTTTAAAATTTTACTTTTATTGAGAATATAATCTAATGACACAAATATTCCAATATACAAGGACCAAACACTGAAAAAGAAATTGTAAATGTCTGTTATATAATCTTAAAAATATCTATCACCAAAATGCATACATGATTTATACATAAAGATTGATGCCACAAGCAAATTGGGAAAGCAAGTAATAGTTTTCCTATCAGATCTATGGAGAAGGGAAGAATTTATGGCCAAACAAGAGATAGAATAAGTTTTTACACAAACAAAACCAATGCAACCAAGATTACCAAGGAAAGCAGAAAACTGGGAAATAATTTTCACATCAAGTGTCTCTGATAAAGGCCTTATTTCTCAAACATATAGAGAAATGAGTCAAATTTATAAGAATACAAGTCATTCCCAAATTGTTAAATAGTCAAAAGATACAAACAGGGACTTTTCAGACGAAGAAATCAAAGCAATCTAGAGTCACACGAAAAAATGTTCTAAATCATTATTGATTAGAGAAATGCAAATTAAAACAACTCGGAGCTACCACTTCACACCTATCAGATTGTCTAATATGACAGAAAAAGAAAATAATAAATGTTGGAGAGGATGTGGAAAAGCTGAGACACTAGTACACTGTTGGTGGAGCTGTAAAATGATCCAATCATTCTGGACAGCAATTTGGAATTATGCCCGAAGGGCTATAAAACTGTGCATACCTTTTGATCCAGCAATACCACCGTGAGGTATATATCCCAAAGAGAATAGAAAAAAAAAAAAGAGGAAAAGGACCAATTTGTATAAAAATATTTATAGCAGCTCTTTTTTATAGTGGCAAAGAATTGTAAATTGAGAGGATGCCCATCAACTGGGGAATGGCTGAGCAAGTTGTGGTATATGAATGTAATGGAATACTATTGTGCTATAAGAAATGATGAGTAGGCAGACTTCAGAAAAACCTGGAAAGACTTGTATGGTCTGATGCTGAGTGAAGTGAACAGAACCAAGAGAATGTTGTACACAATAACAGTCACGTTGTGCGATGACTAATATTCATAAACTTAACCCTTCCCAGGATTACAAGGATCTAAGACATTTCCAGAGGCCTCGTGATGGAAAATGCTATCCACATCCAAAGAAAGAACCATGGAAGTTGAATTGCTATTTTTTTTCTCTTCTGTTGAGTTTTGTTTCCTCTCTCTGATGGTTCCTCCTATTGGTTTTAATTTTTACTTACAACATCACTAATGTGAAAATATGTTTAATAGGAATGTAAATGTATAGCCTATATCAGATTGTGTGCCGTCTTGGGGAGGGTGGTGGGGAGTAAGGGGGAGAAAAATTTTAGCATATGGAAGTGATTACTAATAGATCAAAATAAATTAATAAAAAATTAAAAACAAAAAAAGAGATACCATAAGCAAATTAAATATATATATGTATAATAGGTTCACTAACAATTACTTTCTG